TCTATCTCTTTGCAAGTGCTTTCATTTCTTTCGCAATTGGGTGGCATTGTCTTTCATTGTGAATTTGCACTTGGGAAATGACCAGGATCGTAACAGCTGCATAGATTGGAGGGATTTGAATTTTTGAATGCCTTGGTACAACTTCTGGCCCCAGATACATTTAGACCTCTGTGCAGAAGAGCTCTCTCTCTCTCTCTCTCTCTCTCTCTCTCTCTCTCTCTCTCTCTCTCTCTCTCTCTCTCTCTCTCTCTCCCCCCCGCCCCTAGATGTTGCCTAATCTGTAGCACAATCTGCTCTCCCGCATGCACAATCCATAGCGCACACTCTGCTCTCCAGCTTGCAGTCCACGGTCCTCCCCACTGTCGTTTTGGAGTTGTTGGTTGTGGCTGCACGAAAAGCGTGTTTGAAAAGGCCAACACCTACCCAATTTCCGGAAATGCCAACACCTGTGAGCAGCAACTTCGGAAAAGTCAAAGCCCCGGAGGGAAAAGGCCAAAGCTCCAGAGTCGTTCTAAAACCGTTATTGAAACGCCTACGAAGAACCCTGGCTCTGATTTCAGCAACCGGTGAAAATCCATGATGCAGATCAGCTCATATTCATGAAAATTGATATGCACCGTAGAGGGACTGTATCTAGTGTTTAAAACGCTACAACAAAAGCAAGTGCTCAGCATGGACTGTTCGGTGAAACGGACCCCCCGGCCAATGGGCTTTAGAGGGTTGTATGGGATTCTGAATCTGGAAAGGCAACAACTATAAGTAGTACCAAGAAAAGAACAACACTGAAAGAATAAAGTAATGAGGTCCACATGAGTGTTGGGTGTTTAATACTGTTTATGGTTTGAATTTGCAAAAGCACAGTATTGTAATCGCGAAGTCGTTATAGACACAATATTGTAATCTGGAACTGGTTGTTTTGCAGATTTTGGAACAAGTCAAAGTCAAGTTTGGACTTCCGGTTGTTACAGATGTTCACGAATCACACCAGGTGAGTTTCCTTCTTTCTCCCGTTTGGTTGCTTGTTTGAAAGGTTTTTGGCCTTTTTTCCACCATGATCAAAATCAACATTGCAATACTCTTGAGAAAAAAGCAAAACAAAAAAAACAAAAAAAAAGAGTGCAATACTCTTTGTTGGTAACCCTTGGTCGAGTTCTGTGGTCAAAAGTCATGTCGTAGGGTCAGAGTAGCCCGTCAAAGGATCCTCAGCTCAATAGCATTGGGGTAAAGTTTTCATACTGAGTGCCTAAGGTCTTGAATCGTCAATAGTCAGGCCCCAGGGAAAGTTATTAGTAAGGCCCTACTCAGGCTGCACACCAAAAGTCAAAGATGGTTCTAGAAAGTCAACCATGGCCACAGATCACACAAATCTGAAGGTTCAAAAATCGTTTTCTGATGCATTGAGAGCCTACTAGATCCAAGTAACTCCACACAACCATTGCATCCTAGCTTCACAGACAAGTGAAACTCTCAGCCATCAAGTGACAGTACGAGGAGTAAGCCAGGCTGATGAATGCAATATGTTTTTGCCAACCACATTGCCAACTTCTTATTGATATATTGAATTTATGAGATTTAAGCAGGAGCGCATATATAAACAACGTTGTCGTAGCAAATACCCTTACAAGCAGGGTTGCATACCCCGACCATCGGCACCCCTTGACTCGTCGGCTCCCGGCCAGCCGACCGGTCGACTGGTTGGCACCTACCGGTCGGGGTTCGTCGGCACCCCGCAAATTTTTATTTTTTTTGGGTCCGGAACCCCCAATAACCCAACCAACACCCCCATACCCAACCCCAATACCCCATACAACCCCCCAACACCCCCAAACC